ATAAATGACAATTTAGAAACAGAAATTTTCTTGCCTACTATAACTTGAAACACAAGGATCCTAATATTACAAACATAAAACTTGGAAGAAATTAAAATTGTTCAGAAATTAAGAGTCCCTACAGAAGCTATGTTGGCATTCATATTCCTCGACGGTTCTTGGTGGCTCGGGTAGCCCTCACACACGACATTTTGGTGAAGAGGAACATTGTTAAGAAGCTCGAGCCCCCTTTTTCGCATTTCTTGAACCTCTTCTGGTGAAAGTATCTTGATACAATACACACTGTTTACAAATTCCCTGAATGATTATTGACAAACAAAAGGTTAAACATGTATATATAGCATACAAGCATTTAGGTTCAAGAAAATCATACAAAATGAAGAAAACGTAAATCGATGTTCTGCCGAAACTTTGGCTTTTGAAGTGATTTTGTTAGCTAATGTGGCAGCAGTAAAAAGTCGAAAAAAAAATGATGTAATTTGCCATTGCTTTTGCTTCATTACGATAATAAGAAAACGGTGAAAACTTACGGCCACGGATCATCACCGAGAAGGAGCACGTCATTTTCACAGTCTACAAACACAAGCTGCCAGCCTGATCTTAAAGAATCTTCCAATTGGGCCTGGAGCCCAAACATCCGAGCGAGTTCCATACGCAGCTCATTGTAGCTGCTGAACTTTGTTATATCGAGTGACCTTCCAAACGTTCCCGACTTATAAACCTGTAAAAAAAGGTAATTATTTAGATCAAATATAACATGAAAGGTATACGATAGTATTTTTTCAACATAGTTTTGAGCTTTGTTTTTCATTACTATTGTTTGTGTACAAAAATACCTTCACAAATGCTCTATTGGTTGGATTAGCAAGCTCCCCATTATCCGAAGAAGGCACAAAACCCGAATCCTCTACACAATTGTTTGTGTTAACAGTAGGATTAAATGAGTAATCGGCAACCGAGCTCGATGAGGCAACACCCATATTCACAGTCTCACTTTCTCCAACTCCTTTAAGGCCCGACAATCCAAAAACAAAGTGATTGTGTGGGTCATTACTGCCGGGAAATGGAGGCAGAGACACAGAATTGTGGGCCACACTCGAGCTCAGTAAGCCCAACTGCTCGACCTGGACCGAATTCGAATTTGAATCCGTAAAAGGAAGTGGGTCGAGTGCCACACGCTTGGCGGGCCAAGCACCATCTTCTTGGCGGCCCGGCCCAAATAACCCGTGCAGAGGAGAACTAATGTGCATGTTTGTCTGGGCTTGGGAGAATACGGGACCACCCGATGAGGCCCGTTCATGATCAAGACCGTGTTGCATTTGCGTGCTGTCATTATTGTCGAACGAATTCTGATGGAGCATTTGCTGCTGAAAAAGAGTGTTGTGCATGAGGTTTTGAGGCTGTTGTTGTTGCTGTGGTATCTGGGCCTGTGCCTGTGTCAGGCCCACAGGCCGGTTGCCGAAAAGCAGCTGGGACTGTTTGGATGAGTCGGCCCATCTCATTTCCTGAAAAGCAGTAGTATCACTCTGCATGCCGAGAATCGAAGGTTCAAACCTCGGCTGCAATTGCATCCAAGGGGAGGTGGGCCCCACTCCTTGGTAGTTGAGAGATTGGGTCCCGAGGTCCCGGGCATTCCCACGGAAGAACATGAAAGGGGAGTTCATTGCC